ACATGTCAATCTCTGGAAAGTGGTGCATCGGTGCCCTCTAAAATGGGGTGGCATCGGAGAAAAACCCATATTATGGAGCCCCAAAAATCATGTGGGCAATGAGCGATGGGAATTGGGATGGCGATTGGTAAGGACACGAGACAAGTCACAGGAAAACAAGGGGTCAAGGAGTGAATTCATCAGAAAGCCATGTACAAAAATGGACTTCCCTTTGGGATAAAAAATTGCAAGAGAATCATGAAGAAAAAGAAAGATAAAAAAGAAAGAGAAGAAAACAACATGAAAATGGTGAGTATTAGATTGGATTTGTCGTGTCTATCTGTCATCCATGTCTTCAGCATCGATCTTCTACTTCGGTCTCTAGCGCTGTCATGGCGTCGCAGACATTTTATTGGCGCCACATGGACATTTTAACGGGAAAATCTTTTAGTTAATGATTAAATTTCTTATTTGAATATTTTTAACAAGTTTGGGGATCTAATCGGGTGATTTTAAAGTATAAAGACCTGATTGACTTTTTTGGACATAGTATGATGCCTTATTTAACATTTTCCCCATATATAAATAGCTAACAAATTTGTATTCATGAAATTGATAAAGCTAAGGAATTACTCTTCAAAGTTATTAGTTCAACAACCGTTATTAGTACAAATGACTCCCGCCCTTGACATCCATTATACTCACTATCGTAGACAAGGAGCTTTTATTCATTGCCGGATCAAAGAAAGATGCTCAAAGTTTTTATTCATGAAATTATTATAAGAGTTTATACAAAACCAAAGCAAATCTTATGGGTACATTTTTTTAAACATTTACTGTAAAAAAATTGAAACAGTTCTATGCCTTCTAACTCATTTTTGTACGTGTTTGAATTTCATAGGATCATAACGAGCTAGAATGGTTGGACACTCATTTGGATAGAGACTTTATGCACAAGGTTTTAAATTAATGTATTTGGAATACAACCTTTATTTCCAGATTTCCATCCACTTTCCAGTAAGGGCTTTAATGGATTTATTGTTTATCATTTTACTCTTTTAGGCTTTAAACTTTAGGCTTTCCACTATATTAGTACGTAGTAATATACTAATATACTAATATAATTATAATTATGTTTACTTCTGATTGGAGTGAGCCATTGGCCATTTTTAACATATATTATTGATGTGATTTGTGATTCATTTTGAATTCATTTTTTTACCATTGGCATTCAAAAGAGAAATCTTTGTCAAAGTGCTATTAATGGCCATATCGTGTGCAAAATCATGCATATGATCTCTCTGGAAAGGAAGCTCTCATTCTGTACATTAGAAATTGTCCAAAGTTTATCAATCTTAGGTACCCATGATATATTCAGTTTTTTTACAGTGAAAATGCCATAAAGTGGGCGAGACAAGCTACCTTTAGGCCATCTCCAACAAGCACCATTTTGAACACCAAAATGGTGTATTTGGCAAAAAAATGCTCCAACAATGGCACCAAACATTACACCATTACACCAAAATGGGGGAGGGAGGATGGCTTCACACCATATATGGCGTACACCATATATCACACCATCCAACTTTTTGGCTTTCTTTTCCTTTTAAATGTGACCTTCAAGTTTTAATTATTATAGTTTTGACCCATTTTTAAAACAACAAATTAGGATGTTTTACTTGGACTAATATTTTCCTTTTAAAATTAGTATTTGTGAAATATTGATTATTGTATTTTAATTAGTGAAATGCGTGAAAATACATATTAAAATTATGTATTTTAGTTTGTATGTGTGAAATAATGTGTGAAATATCAAAATATTAAATGAGGGGCTAATGTATAAATATATGATAGTTAGATACTTAAATAGAAGAATGGTAAAAAGTTAGTAAAAAGAATAAAAAGAGAATATTCCTTTTTGGTGATGAAAATGGTGTAAACTGTTGGAGATAAAATACTGTTTGATGTGATGTTTACACCATTTTGGTGTAAAAAATGGTGTTAACTGTTGGAGATGGCCTTACACAGGAGCCTCTTTTCCTTGAACATTACTTGACGTTGCGAAAGACATAAGAAGAGGTCAAGCAGTAGTGGCCACTTAACACGTTCTAGTGTCGGCTCTTATTTTCTCTGTCACGGCCTATGTTCTTTTATCTGCCTGTCAATGAAGAAAAAATCTATTTAGCTGAACTTAGGTATTCAAAAAGAAAGGATTTCTTGCTGGCTATCCATAGACGGTAGATCTAACCCAATGATTCTTTTTTAGGTAGATATGCTTTCTGTAAGTCAAAAATTCAAAATATGAAGAAAGAGTAGCCCGCCCCACATGACTAATCCACTTTACAGAGGGATAGAAAGGAAGGACCGGGGGCCAGATTGGGATGAAGAGAATAAGAAAGTCTGCCCAAGGCATGCACCAAATATTTCACATACCCCCACCAGGTCTCTGGCTCCGCAAAGAAACTAGCTAAAAGTCTAAAACAGAGCTTGCATGAGTCTACATAAGGTGCTTTGAGTTCTAAGAGTTGTCTTTCACTTATAGATTCCAGCGAGGAGCTATTCAAATATAGGGAAGGAGCGTTGTTGTTTGCGAGGTCTCGATCATTTACGTGGACCCATTTTTCATTCCATTTGTGGGAATTTGATGATTATAAACCGTCCCTAACGAACGATCGGCTCTTGTTTGAGCATGATGAATCACTTTGTGCTGTCCATACTAAGCTAAGTCTGCCCTTTCTATTAGCTGCTAGTAGGCTAGTAGCTCTCCTCTCTTCTTGTAGCTCGGTAGTTGGATGTTTCATAATTCCTTTATGGTTAGAGCACGCTACGATAGAAGAATAAATGACTTTGTATCTTTCTTTGGAAAAAATAATTCTTTGATCCTGGCAATTTACTACTATTGAATGAGAATAACAAGAAGGAATGATTTCTTAAACCAAAGTCTTAGCTCTGTTAGAGCTGAAAGAACCCACAAATCTCACTGCACTGACCATAGTAAACTCCTTCTCGTTGTACCGAAATAGAGGTCTGATTTAAACGACCAGGTCTCTTTACACATATGATATGGAGATCTAGTACGGTGAACAAGTAAGGTATGGACTCTTGCCCTATCTTACATCCCTCCCTGCTCCATCTTTTCTAGAACGACCTTCACTCCATTTTTTCAAGAACAACCTGTGCTCCTTCATCTTGTACAAGAAGGATACATGCTACTCTCCTCTTTGTTTCTTTCCCGTGGTAGACTGATAAACTGTTAATTTATCAAGGCTTAACCCAGGAACTTGTTTTTTATTCAATATTTTAACTTAAGATGTTTTAATCATTAATAGCATTGTATGTTTTGTTCATGAAACTAAGGAATATTTCCCAGTAATTTAGGATTTAAGAATGTTAAGATGTTTGCAACTTTGAATGGCTTATATCATACTTTATTAATGTGTATGTCATGTAATTATATGCTTGTAGTTAATTATGTATTATACTTGAAAGTAGTCTGAATAGCGGTCATCCCGCTATCCGCTATACCGCTATAGCGTTTTCAGGGTTGACCGCTATGCCCCGCTATCCCAGATTGACAACACTGCTCTGAATACATACTTCATAAACATTTGATTTACAATGGCTGGGGATCATAGCTCCTGGTTGCGAGCATTGACGCAGATCTCTCCCTACACCTTTTCAGTTTCAGCCAGTGGCGGAGCCACCCTTTGGCCAGTGGTGTCAATTGACACCACTGGATTTTTTTTCCCATATGTAGGTATATAAAAACAAATTTAAAATTTAAAATTGACACCACTGAAAAATAAAAATTCTCTATATAAGTATAGATCATCTTTCATAAATTATAAATTGACACTATCCAACATTAAAAAAAAATGGGGCTCAATTTAAAAATTTTAAAAGTTGGAACACCAAATTGAAAAGTCAGCAAAGGAGAATTGAAAAGTCTGTGCCCAAATCGCTGATTGAACTCTAACTCTCGCAGCAAAAAAAACTATTGAGCGCCGTAAGTCGCAGTCCCAATTTCCAAATTGCTGAAATCGAAAACCCTCAGTCGCAGTCTGTGCCCAATGGGATATTCTCTTTGGTGAAATTTCTTCTTTTTGTGAAAAGAATAAAATTTCAATTCCAAGTATGAATGATTTTTATGTACCTCATGGGAGAGTCCGTCGCAAAGTCATCCAAATCACAAACTTACATCGTTACAAAGTGGACTTGTTTGATGTTGTGGTGGATAGACAACGCGAGGAGTTGAACAATCGATTCACAAAGATTTCTACAGAATTGCTTCTTTGGTGGCTTGCCTTAGTCCTAAAGACACTTTTTCATCTTTTGACAAGGACAAGTTGATTCGCATGGCTCGATTATATCCTTTTGACTTTTCACTGGTAGATGTTCTTGCTCTTGACAGTCAACTTGAAACTTTTATTCTTGATGTGCGCTCCAACTTTGCATTTATAGATATTATAGAAGTTGGTTCTCTTGCTCAAAAATTGGTGCAGACAAAGAAACATATTGTGTATCCATTAGTTTTTTTACTTGTGAAATTAGCTTTGCTTTTACTGGTGGACACTGCAACTGTGGAAAGAGCTTTCTCTGCCATAAAGTTCATGAAGAACAGGTTGCGCAATCGAATGGGGGATACTATGATGAATGATGCCTTAGTTACTTTTATTGAAAAAGATATATTCAAAAAGATATATTGAAAAAATTGTACAACGTTTTCAAAATATGAAAACGCGTCGTGGACAGTTTTGAATTAGTACTTTAATTTTACCAATGACAATATTTGCTTTTTTGCTTTATATATGTACACATTATTATATAATATTGTTTTGCTAAATACGAACTCCTGGCTCCGCCACTATTTTCAGCTATCGGTATTGCCATCTCCATGGCGTTTCAGTATTAGGAGCTGCTTGGTAAATGTCATCTTCTATTTCGCCCTTCTGATTCACTAAAATGCCGAGTTTCAGATGCTGCCCTCTTCTCAGTACTTATTTGAATTTCAATTTCAACTAGGGGGATCTATATAACCGGAAGTAGCTTGATTGGCGCTGCCATCAAAGCTCCTCGCATTACCTCCAAAAATCTCATCAGGTAAGTTTATTTCTGTATCTCTTTTGATGTTTGCACTATGTTTCCCCTCGTAAGAATTTTGCGTTAGAAACGCTTTGGTTTTTAGATCGACTGCGGTACCTTGTATACCCACTTCAGAAGCACATCTAATTGTTGTTCTTACATTTAATTACCTTTCTATTGCAATATCTGGGAATAGTTTCAGAGGATCCTTGTGAACTTTCTCACTAAGTTCTCACAAGGAACACCTTTTTTAAATAGTTACTTTCTATTTCAATTAATTCACCTTCATGAGCACTGAAAACTGCGAATATCACATTGGAAAATGTCGACCCCGAATGGAATAACTATCACAATCCTAAATGGTTGTAATCAATGTTCTAAAAGGCGCTAGGCGCTAGTCGGGCGTCCGCCTAGCGCCTATGCGGCTAGACGGGCGCCTAGTCGGGGACTAATCGGAGACATATAAATTGCATTTATATATATATTTTTACATAAATATGATATATAATATTGTATTTTTGTGTGTATAAAATACATATATACATATACATTAACCAACATGAAAGACATAATTCTCACATTTAATCATACGTATGATATGATAACTAATCACTTAACTTCATTATGGTATAAATATAAATAATGAAAAAATTTAGGTATATATACAAACATATATAGTTTTATCTTAATTTACAACTTCATTTCTTTATATCCATGACTAAAGTTAAAGTGCGTATATCGCTTAGAAAATTAAAATTAAAAAGTAAAGTAATGTTCGGCGAATCTAGACGGTCTAGGCGGCCGAGTAGGCGCAATAGGCGGGCAACTAGGCGTCATAGGCGGCTGACTAATTCACCTAGACGGAAAACCAATTAGTCGGAGTGCCTAGACGAAAATCGGGGCGCCCTGACCACTGCCTAGTGCCTAGGTGGGGGCTAGTCGGGCGGCTAGAACGATTTTTAGAATAGAGGTTATAATTAGTTTTTGTTAAAAAGAGAAGTATGTGGGGGAACCATTGTAGGTTGGGACATCTTGTTAAATATTCTAGATAGCTCAGCACTCATCATCATTAATGCCGGCTTACAGTGGGACCAGTGGTAGATTTACTGAGTGGAAACAAGAAATAGAAGCTGTTTAGTTCAACATGGATGAATGGAACTGAAGCCTAAGTTCATTATTGCAGTTTTCACTTTTCACCTACATAGATTTAATATCTCATCTTAATTCATTGACCATTCATTATGTTTTTTTTCTACGCAATCCCAAATTTATTTTAGCTAAGGAACTGTGAAATTTCAATGCAAGTATAAATTAACTATTGAATGCAGTTTCGAGTTTTGGTGATGGTTAAAACATAAAACAGTCTCCCAACCTAGATTAAATAATTGGTTTTGCCTTCAAATTGGACTATAGTAAGATTTCTAGCGCATTGGAAGGACTTATTTGGGGTTTAAAGTGTATACTAATTGATGATATTTCCAGTGTGATTGCAAATCTTATTAGCTTATGAAGCTATATTCTACTCTTTTCAGTGTAATTTTTTGTGAGGCAGTTGCTATATATGGTGTCATTGTGGCTATCATATTCCAAACAAAGCTTGAGAGTGTCCCTGCCTCCCAGATCCATGCACCAGAGTCCATTGCAGCTGGCTATGCAATTTTCGCTTCAGGGATAATTGTTGGGTTTGCCAATCTTGTGTGCGGGTAAGTTTAAATGTATTTTTGCCTTTTCATTTATATTATGCACTCTTACTATTCATTTTCTGATTGTCTTACGGACTCTTACCACTTGTTCTAACAAAGGATATGCGTTGGAGTGATTGGAAGCAGTTGTGCTTTATCTGATGCACAAAACTCTACACTTTTTGTTAAGATTCTGGTGATTGAGATATTCGGTAGTGCATTGGGGCTCTTTGGAGTTATAGTAGGAATAATCATGTCGGCTCAAGCAACTTGGCCATCCAAGGCTTAGTGAGTTGTACTTGACGTTGCATTAAAGAGCATTTTACTTCATATCTTCTTCTGTGTTCTACTGTTCTGTATCATATTGGTCTTGATGAATTTTAGAATCTTTAATTTACTTTTCGTCTGAAAGAATTGCAATAATAAATTTTGTGTTTTTTCTTCTCTTTCCTTTGGATGTTCGATTTTAAAAAGTTTATTGCTTTGATTTGTGCTGCATTTATCGGACCCGGGCCGGGCCCGGCCGGGCATTTTTTTTGGGAAGAACCGGAACCGGCCCGGGCCGGGCCCGGCCGGGCATTTTTTTTTGGGAAGAACCGGAACCGGCCCGGGCCGGGCCGGTTCATGTTATTTTATTTTTAAATTTCTTTTGCTTTTGTAATTAACCCTCGACCCCCCCCCACCCCCCACACCCCAAACCCCCCAAAAACACCCAGACCAACCCGGGAGAAACCAAAAAAATTGAAAAAACCAAAAAGAAAAAAGAAATAGACCGGGCCAGTTCCGGGCCCAAATCGGGCCGGTTCCACTTTTAGGAGGCCCGAGCCCGGCCTGATTAATTCCGGGCTCGGGTGGCCCGGACTGGTCATATAACCGGGTACCGGGCCGGGCCCAAACAGTACCGGTTCCGGGCCGGGCTGCCCGACCCGAGTCCATGACTAATTTATCCCATGCTGCCAGATGTGCACAAGCAAGAAATACTAAACCAGACAGTCATATGGAATAAGAATAGGTTTGTGGCGTGCCGGTGAAGATCTTCTAGTCCAAATTTTGTTCCATTCTCTTTGCTAGGCATGGAGCCGGTTCGGGCCACCCGGCCCGGTCATTCGAACCGGTACTGGGTGTTGACCCAAACCGGAGGGGAAAACGGGGGCGGGCTCGGGTAGGCTGAATCGTGAACCGGCCGGGCCCGGTTCGGGCCTGTTTATTATTTTTTTTCTTTTTTTGATTGGGCTGGGTTTAAATGGGCTGGGCTGGGGGTTTTCCGATGGGTTTGGGAGATGGGGGGAGATAGGGGGTGTAGGGGGGTAGGAGATGAAATAATCAAGAAATCCAAAAAAAAAAAAAAAGAACCGGACCCGGCCCGGCACCGGTGGATACCCGGGCCGGTTCCGGGCCTACCCCCAAACCCCTAAAGCCCGACTGGGCCTTGGCCCGGCCCGAGTCCAAGCCTTCTTTGTGCCACTCTTTGTTGTTGGTTAGATAAAATGTGAAAATAAAGTACATGTTTGATGGTTAGTGAAGTGAAAAATACGGTGGTCGCTTAGCAATTCACACTAGGACTGGACTCGGGCCGGGCGGCCCGACCCGGAACCGGCCCGCCCATTGTAGCAACCGGCCCGGCCCGGTGGCCCGGTCCACCGGCGGTTCGGGTCGAACCGGCCCGGTGAATACCGGTTCCGGGCCCGGGCCCTCCATTTGGTGAACCGGCCCGGCCGGTTCGGGCCCGGTCTGGGCCGGAATTATTATTTTTTATTTTTTTTTTGAATTTTTTTTAATTTTTGGGTTGGATTAGGTATTTTGGACAATTTGAGGTGGTTTGGGGTGGTTTGGGGTTGAGGGGGAGGGGTAGGGGGTTAAATAAGGGAACCCAAAAAAATTAAATAGGGCGGGTGAACCGGCCCGGAACTGGCCCGGTCTGGCCCGGAACCGGCCCGGAACCCGCCTGGTCTGGCCTGGAACCGGCCCGGAACCGGTCACCGCCGGTTCGGGTCCGGGCCCTCCTTTTGGTGAACCGAGGCCCGAACCGGGCCCGGCCCGAACCGAGTCCAGCCCTAATTCACACCACTTCTTTAAATATTGGTGTTTCAGAGTCTGATCAATAGTGTTTGTATCAAGTCTAGACGGTGCTTCAGGATCCAAGCCAAGAATGGTATATTCAATCAAATCAGGGTATATTCTTTAAAGATAGGTGTTTCAGAGTCTGATCAATAGTGTTTGTATCAAGTCTAGACGGTGCTTCAGGATCCAAGCCAAGAATGGTATATTCAATCAAATCAGGGTTGCTAATAGGAAAATTAATAGCATTTAGAGAGTCAATCAATAGTTTAATTTCCGGGAGATATGATCTATGGACCGAGAGACTCTTTCTTCTTAATGTGAGATAGCTTCCGCTTAAGTTCCATAGGCCGAGCAAGTCAGGCAGACATAAACCGGGTTTGAAGACGTTCCGAAATGCGTGCAGAGAATTTGAGGTCACAACAAATTTAATTCGAGTTGAATATTTTCGTCACAACAAAAATCTCAAACATAACCATTCTATCTAATTCATCTAATTTTCGGCCGTAAGGAGTATCGATCAATGGACAAGCTATTCATAGAATACGAAAACATATACTGCGTATGTAAATCAATCAACTAAAGTAAACGGAGAAACAAATAAAATCAAACAAATTCTTTAATGAAAGTGACGATGGCCGCAGCCCTTCGAGGGTCAATCATTTCAATGCCATGAAACCCAACATCGTCAAACCGAGCCTCCACCTTCGCACCATTCATCACCAACATCTGCACAAACTCTTGTTGCCGGTCAATCAAAGTGTCTCCTCCGAATCCGATCACCAGAAACCTCCCCAGCCGCCGCAGCTTCGCCATGCTCGCCTGGTCCACCATCGGGTTGCAGAACCTATGGTCCCGGTCCGATCCCGGTGGAAGCGCCAGCTCCCATAGCACGTCGATCACCGGCAACGGGAAGTACGGGTCCGCCGCCATCTTCAGCTCCGACCGCGTCCGCTTCTTCCCGCCGAACAAGGGTTGGTTTAGTATCACCCCGGCTAGGGTTACGCCATCCAGGTCGAGATCGAGACACCGCAACGCCGCGTTGTATGCAATGTTTGCCCCGCAGCTGGACCCGTAGAGGTAGCACCGTGAGAAGTCTCCGTAGCGGCGGAGCCACTCGTCTCCGCCGTCGCGGTTCGTGGATTGTTCGTCGACCCATTTGATGGCGTCGATTGCGTCCTCGTACTGCGATGGGAGGCGATGCTCCGGGGCGTTACGGTAGTCGACCGCGACGACGATAGCCGGGACCTGGGCGGAGACCTTGTTGCAGCCCTCGTGGACGATGGAGTTCGCCACGCTGAACGTGATCCAACTGCCGTTCCGAAAATATATCATGATGGGCAGTTTTTCGTTGCCGTCGGCCCGCGGCCGGTATATTCTCATCCAAGTTTTCTTTTCTTCGGATAATGTGACGTCCTTGCTGAGGACGGCGTGGCCGGAAGCAGATTCACCGGTCGCCGGAGTTGTCGGGAGGTTGAGGAGGCGGGTGAGGGTTCCGTCTTTGTTGAGGATCACCTTTAGGTGCTCGTAGGGATCGAAGTGTGACATGATTAATTATTAATTGGTAATGAATTTGAGAACGCCTTTTAATTAATATGCTCGTGAAAGAAATTAAGACTTTGAAAGCTAAGCAAGCGTCTAGCTAGATGTGAAAAAGTGTATATGCGGCATATAAATAACGAAGACTTTGATCTAAACAATGGCCGGGCATGATAATCGGTTGGTCAAAATGTTTGATACACACAAGATATATGTGGCTAGCGTACGCCACAAATTGTATATAATTGTGGTTAACAATGTAACGATGTGAAAATCAGCTGCCCGCTTTAGCATAGAAAATAAATATTCGTAGATAAGAATCGAACCAATAAATGATGTATAGAAAATGTCATTTTTATTTTTTAGAATGGGAAGAAAGAGTAAAGCCCGAAAGAAAGATGCCCTGTTATATGGTTAATTGGTTATCTAAAAGTTTTATCTCATAAAGTCATGAATGGAAAATAGAGATGAGCAATTAACGCTATTTAAATAGTACTCCGATCCGTAATAAATTAAATATTTTCCGCGCAATGACGCTAGTCAACTTGAGGGTGGTAATAGCTAGTTTACTAGTTTATTGAGTTCCATTTTAGAAGCTTAGCTTGATAGATATTCTTGTAGCAAAACCACTACTACATTATTATTTCGAATCCAATCCCACAGTCGCACCATTTTTATCCCGACTCATGCTTAAAAGGGTTCTCCCGCCGATTTTTGCAACTTTCCTTCCTACGATAGTTCGTGCGACTTTTCTTCTATAGACCTCTAGCTAGAGTAGTAGAGTGCAAATGTGCAATGGATTCAGATTGTTGGTTCTTTGGATTTGGGATTTGGCTTTAGGAAACGAAACAAAGGTTCAAGAAAAGGATATTAGGAGGGCGAAGGGTTGGTTTTTGGCCGATCAATATGGGTGGAGGTAGTGGTGGAGGCGACACGGGCGACAGCAAACAAGGAGCGGTGAAGGACTAAGTACGGAAGAAGACATATCGGCAGTCCGCCCACCACCTGAACCGCAGCCTTGGATCAACCGAGGTGTCAATGTTCGGAAGATGATATCAGGGGTCCTTAGCTCATTCACCGAGGCTTACAAGAAAACTGGTTGGGAGTTTGGAGTATTTATCATTTTCATCATTTTCATTTACCCCAATGCTGCAAAGGCTCCCACCTACGGTGGGGTAGGGGGGGGGGTCGGATGTACGTAGTCTTACCCCTGTACTAAAATACGGAGAGACTGTTTCTGGATGACCCATAGTGAAAATCGCGTCCAAAATTGCATGAACTCACTGCTGCTTCATAACAAAGAAGCACAAACAGTTTAGTGAACCATTTGCTTTAATCCATCATACTCTCAAGCCAAAAAATAATGAATCTTTGGCTCCATTGCAAATGATGGAAAAGTTTGGAGTATTTATAAGTTACTTTATTTTTTATGATTTTATTTTCTCATTATATTTGTTTACGTTGCTCTGTTTTTTGTTGCCGTCTTTCGTTTTAAGTCTACACTAATGATTGACAATTCTGCTAGGTATTATGTCGTTATAAAGATCTATATGACCATTGATTGTTGTGTCACATGCGTTGATGACTAGCGATTTATATTACCCTTTCAGAGGTGATCGTTTATAAACTTAGTCATATGATACAGTTGATTAGTTTATAAACTTAGTCGTACGGTTGATTATGCATCTTTGTTATGAGTGTTGGTCTATTTGAACTTATGGTAACTATTTGAATCTTAATTATATGAATATAAACAGTTTTTTCTTTCAAAAAGTAGTACTCCGTAATAGATCCAGGTTAGAAACTATCTACATGCTTGGCAACAATTGGGACGTGGACTTTCTAGCTATGAAAACCCCGTACGCTGGTGATCGAATAAATATTCACAACTTATTAGAATAAAAAAACAAGCAATTGTTGAGTAGCTAACGACTTGCTAAATTCATCTCGAGTTTGGTTGAAAGAAGAAAAACAACGGAACAATCTATGTACGTCAATGTTGCTTCGTGGAATATATCACTCTCTCAATATGGCAATAGCTGACTTAGGATGTTTTCTTTTGGACCGTTTTCAGTCCGGCCTAGACCAGACCCGACTTAAACAGACCAGACCAGACCAAAATTTCTTAATTATAAAATACACAGAGACCAGACGTTTACCAGGCCAGACCAGACTAATTCAGATCAGACCAGACCCTCAAATTTCAGTCCAAAACAAAACATTCTTACTATGTCACAGAACAAAAATAGGGCTTGGCAACTAGCTAGCTAGGAGCCTAAGACCTCTAAATTAGCAAAAAGACAAAGCAACCATTGTATTTCACCAAAAGATGGAACTTATGGAAGAGTGATGGCTAATGAGGGGTATTTGGTCTAAAAAAGAACGCCAAACTCATGATATCTTAAATCGCTAAGATATCATAGTGACCCCTTTAAATACGCAAGACATTTTGTGCAGCTATAGATTGACATATGAGCATTTGTGATTTGTCATATGTATGAACATTTGTGACGAAAATGAGGAACCCTTTTGCGCTAAATATTGTAAACAAAAAGAATCCAAAATACTACTAGCTTATAATAAGAAATGTTGTACTCAAGTTATATTTTGCACCATAAAGAACAAAAATACCATAGGGACGGTATAACACCAATAGTTGTGAACGTATAGCTAGACAAATAGCGATTATCCAATGACCATAATATTTAGTGAAATAGAATACATTGCAATTACCAATTAGTGCGTTCCTAGGCATACAAGAAAAATATTCAATGCATACACTCACTGCATTCAAATGTTACATTTAGTTAGTAACAGAGCCGAAATTTTAGTACTCCGCAAGAAATATTGGTTTGATATAATTAACCTCGATCTAGTCTAGGAAATGTGTATTTTAATAATATTTCATGAGTCTCATATAATACGATTTGATATGATCCAATCAAATTTGATATATTAAGTGGTAAGTAATACTCCAAAAAGGTTTGTTTAGTTTCCTTATACATCATACAAAATATTTTTATAAAAGTATAAAACTTATATGTTATATACAAATATAATAATTAAAATCAGTATTCAAAGTATTTTGTCAATGATCAAGAAAACTTAGAGCCCATTTGTTGGCCATATTTTTCAACTTATTAGGTGTATAAGTCAATTTTTCACCAAACACGCAACTTTTGATTTACGCGAGTTGAATTGTGTAATAATAAAAAAAAGTAAGGTTGATGTTACTTTTCTGACTGTATTAGTTGAAATTACTTGATCATTTTAGCTAATTTTCATGTAATTTCTATTTTATTTTATTAATAAAACATATTATAAATATGATTTTTTTATAATTTAGCAGAATCAACCAATAGAGTCAATGCAGACAGAGATTCATAAATTTCAGCAGAATTAACCGATTTGAGTATTACCTAATGGACTCTTGATATACCAAAACTTATATATATTCAAGACGAAGTTAGTGAAATTATTATTCGATTAAGATTTAATCAAATGTAAAATCGATTGAACTTTAATTCAAAACATTGTACAAGCTTTGGACATAAAAAAGGATACAACACATTTAATTACATTGCAGACCTTACTACAGCTTTGCCTCCATCGCAACCGTAAATGAAATTCCCGATGGCACCATACAATTCTTCGGCGCTCCTGGGATCAAACACTTCCACCCCATGATGCCCCGTATCCAGAAACTGCGGTACCACCCTAACCCCGTGCACCCTCAACCACTTCGCCAGCTCCTTCTGCCGATCCACCAGTGGGTCCCCTGCGTATCCTCTCACCAAACTCCTCGGCAGCCGTCCGATCTTCTCCCCCAGCTGGGGCCCATCAGTGAACGGGTTAGAAAACCCGTGGTCACGATCCGCCCCCTTCGGCAACGCCAGGGCCCACATCAGGTCGTTGACATGCAACGGAACGACCTTATCGTTGACCAGTCTTCTCTCAGATTCCGTTCTCTGGACCCCACCGAAGTACGGCTGGTTCATTATCAGCCCTTCGATCTTCACCGGAGAGAGATCGGTGTCGAGCGCACGCAATGCCGCGTGGTACACGATATTCCCCCCGGCGCTACTGCCCATCAGGAAAGTTCTAGAGAAGTCCACCAGCTCAGCCATCCACGGATCGCAGTTCCCGCCGCTCCCGGCGGCAATCGCCTGATCTTTGGCCCACAGGAGAGCATCCGCGGCGTCATCGTACGCGGCAGGGAGGCGGTGCTCCGGGGCAAGACGGTACTCGACGGATGCGATGACGGCGGGAAGTAGAGCTGCCATTCTGTTACAGGATTCGTGGTAAATGATGGATGTGACACTGAACAGTATGAATCCGCCTCCATGGAAGTAGATGAGTAGAGGGAGCTTGGACGGCGACGGAGAATTTGAATCAGACGGAGGCGGCGGGGGGCGGAAGAGGCGGATGAAGGTGGCCGAGGAGGGGTTGAGAGGAATGTCTTTGGAGAGGGGAAATTGGGGATCTGATGGGTTGGAGGGTGAGACCGGAACTGATTTTAGCCTGGTGAGGGAGCCATCAGGGTTGGGGACACTCTTGAGGAATTTGTAGGCTTCTTCTTCCCTTTTCTTGGAGTCCATGGATCGGAGTTTGACAAGGGTGATGGCCTTTGGTCACTCATGGTTAGTTAATGGGTAAGAAGGACCTGATTGGAGTTGTTGGTTGCATTGATGTAATATTTATTGCATTTACAATAATAATCAGAGTAGGGCATGCATGCATGGTGGGGTTAACTAATTTAGCATGTGTCCATAAACAGGCAGTGCCTATACTGTGAAACCGGGAGCACCATGCACCCATGGTTATATGAGATGTAAGTCGTGTGATTCGAGATGTAACTTCAAGTTAATCAAAATGTAAATTGCACTCATTCACATGTAACTCGTTAAAGTGTAAATTCTTTTTATTGAAATGTAATTTGGGGGACAAATTAGATGTAATTTGGGACATGTAACTTTAGGCTATTGAAATGTAAAACGTTTTTACAGAGATATAACTCCATATATATAATTATTTATATATATTATATACACTCACAAATGAATATATTGGGGCATGGTCTCGACCTGTGATTGCGTGAGGCAGCTGGGGTTGTGGTGGTGTGATGCGGTAGTTGCAGGGATTTCACAAGGGGTTGTGGTTGTGGGATGGTGTTGGGCAACAATTCTGCAGGTGAATGGGCGAGGTGCTGGGCGCTGTGAAGGTTTGGGGCGGCTAGGTGGCGATGGCAGGTGGGCAGGGGATGAGAGAGCGCTGTTGGTTTAGGCAAAAGTAGTTGGAGAGGGAGGAACGATCGCCGTTTTGCGACCGGGCACACCATCCTCATGGTGCGCCGGTCGCACGGTATAATCTGCGTAAATAGGGAGGTATTGCGTTTGTTAGCCTTTTCCTTTCAAATTGAGTTGCAAATTTTGTGTTTTTTTTAGTCAGACTATTTTAGTTTATTTACTTAATTACGATGTGTTTCAAAGTTTAATTAGATTCTAATTCGAAGTTTGAAACTTTGATTAGGTTTTAATAAAATTTATGAATATGTAAATTTTAATTATTAAAAATTGAATTAATTATATATATGAAGTATTGACTTTTATTATTGGTTGCCGAAAAAATGTTGACTTTGCAAAATAATTTGGGAGAGTGAGTTTTACTCCTCGTAAAACAGACTTATATTACTCACATTTTTAGGATTTGGTTTTCAATTTTTCTACTTATTATTATTATTACTATTACTATTACTATTACTATTACTATTACTATTACTATTACTATTACTATTACTATTACTATTACTATTACTATTACTATTACTATTACTATTACTATTACTATTACTATTACTATTACTATTACTATTACTATTACTATTACTATTACTATTACTATTACTATTACTATTACTATTACTATTACTATTACTATTACTATTACTATTACTATTACTATTACTATTACTATTACTATTACTATTACTATTACTATTACTATTACTATTACTATTACTATTACTATTACTATTACTATTACTATTACTATTACTATTACTATTACTATTACTATTACTATTACTATTACTATTACTATTACTATTACTATTACTATTACTATTACTATTACTATTACTATTATTATTGTTATTATTATTATTATTATTATTATTATTATTATTATTATTATTTCCTATTAGAGACACTTTTTATCCTCGTCCTTAAATGTTCTTATATTTAGTTTATTGGGTATTATCAAATTGACATTTTTCTTTATTTCAACATGATTTTGACACAACAAATGAAGGATTAATTGACAAAAAATATCATTATTATAACATTTGCAGGATAAAAAATGTCACTTTCATGAAAGTAGAAAGACTAAATAAGAAAGTATTTAAAATGGTATCAAATTTGAGTATTAGCAAAATTGATCGTAAGAATAAAAGTGTCAAAAACTGGTAAAACATGTCATTGCAAAATCATGCATATAATTAATCCATGTTTAACACATGTATGTGTGTGTATATAAAACATAAACGAGGAGAAATTGATTTTGCATTTCATTTTAAATTTCTTAGTAAAATTTGATTTCGCACTCTTCTAAAAAGAAGTTAATGTGTGCAATTTAATAATCATGACATGAGGAGTGAAATTTACTTTTTTTAATTAAAAAGTTGATCGAGTTACCCTAATTTAAAAAAAAAAAATGAGTGCCAATTTTGAATTAAACGGATGTGTTTCCCCACATTTTCAACCAGATTAATCATCAGGATGATTATTGTTGGAGCTGAGGTTATTCTTAAATGGTCTACCCATCAACGTTTTTTTAATAGCTTAATGTGGGTTAACTTGGTAAATGATTTATTAGAACAAACAATTATATTTAGCTTGTTTATTCGAAAAACATTACAAATAGAAAAGCAGCGTTGATTTCTTAGATTTTTATTAACGGATTTTTAATTTATTGTTTTTAAAATCAAATTTACCCTCAGATTATACTTTTTTCAATAAATATTTAATTAGTTCACAAATTTTATTTAATAAATTGAAATGAAATAAAAATGTAATAACAATAATAAGGAATGTCATAAAATACTGTCACCTTTTATAATACGTAGAATTATTTTAACACTAATAAAATAAAATATTTAAAATGAAGCAATTAATAATAAAATAAATGAATGCAGTGGGTGAACGCATGCGGCATGCATGCACGGGCGCAAACACATAATATTACTATCATAGTGATTAAATACATAATAATTCATATGATTCTAAAAAAGCTCACAATAAACTTATGTGTAGGTAAACATATATGTGTCACCACTCACTAATAATGTGGAAAGTATGCGGACCATCAAATGGGTACGTAGAGATGAGTACGACTAATTTTTACCCGGAGGCCGTCCCTAAAATATGATTGCATATTGGCCTGCAAGGGTAGCGGAGCCTGTGGGGTACGAGATGTTTTGGAATTTTCAAACCTTTTTAGTCATATTTCGGATAATATTCTCGATGTTTTATCGTGGTTAAAGTTCAAGGCTGGATAAATGTCAAAGTTGGAGACGGATTCGTTAATGGTTGTCTCAAGCTTTATAACGGGGAGGATTCATATTTTGATACAATCACTGATGATAGAAGACATAATCTTCGGATTGAAGCTAGTATTTAAGGGATTCAATGTATGTTGCCCGCAAATGTAGTAGCTCATAAGTAGCTAGGATTGCTCTTTCTTTATCGGATAGTCGATGTAGTTCTTTTAATATTCCTCTTGACTGTGTTGTTAGTAGGGGTGGACAAAAATACCGAACCGACCTGATAGCCAGTGGTGGAACTAGTCAACTAGAAAATATTTCAAGCGGGGGCACAATCACATAGCTTAAACCATCACATGATAATATTTACCGAAAACAACTATAATTAATTTAAACTATTTTAAATTCATAATTTCATACCAATAATAAATTAATACGTAATCATTAAATTTAATTCAAACTATTTTGCACTACATATACTCCCTCCGTAACATAAAGATCTTCCCATTTTGACTTTTCACGGTCTTCTAAGTTGAACTTTGACTGCAAATATCAACATATCTATATTTATAAAATTCATAATAAATTAACATTCAAATAATATGTTTTACAATGAGTTATATAAAATAAATTTTTAATCATAACATAATGTGAGTTTTGAATAAATAATGGTCAAAATTCATAAAGTTTGACCCAAAAAAGTCAACCGGGAAGATTCTAGCGTTACGGAGGTAGTATGTTGGAAAGTTATTGAGAAATATAGCTCCAAAGTTCGACTCGTATGATACTTACACATTATTTCAATTACAAAATGAGAATTCTGAAATTACTTTTTAAATTGAAATTTATATTATTGTTATACAAAGATCAAAACAATTTTACTTCTCGTGTGAAATTGTGGTGTTCTTGCTTTTAAGTATACGGAGTATTTCATAATAATAATAAAGGTTATTGCTTTTATGGATAATAAAGTATTCTTTCATTTAATTTGGCCTTCTTGTCTTCTTGCGCACTGCGTATGCGAGCATAGCCGCATAATACATTTGGGCGTTGTTCTCGGGGTGGTTATGCTGGGCTGTTGAGTATTGGGCCTGCCTTGGCCCGATCACTCTTTACTCTATTTTTTCCCTTGGACTCCAAACTACGTCGTTTTGTCCTCTAAACTTAAAAAAAGTCGCTCAGTGATGCTCAATCGATCGTCCCTGTCTGCGTAACTGCTCGGTGCTTCCAAGCTCGCCGGAAAAAATGGAACGGACCAGTCCAACGCCCCAACCTATCTATACCCTATATTTTACGGCCGAAGCAGGGGCACCAGCCCCCCTTGCAGATCCGCCCCTGCTGGCACCGAACCGAAAAACGGGGTTTGAAACGGATCTCAATTTCTTTGTCCCGAACCGGACCGTACCGCTTCTAAACAATGTCATAACCGGTTCTCATAATAAAAGGATATTTCGATAATGTATTCACATTTAAAGAAATTTGGAGTACGAAGAGTAGTTTAGATGTTAAATTAGATGTTTCATCACTAGTAAACAATTGGATCAAGTATGGTTGAAAGTGAAACTAATTTGGCTTCTTTAATATTTTACTTTGTTTTATTAATTTTATATTAATTAAAAATTTTAAGGTAGGAACCTCATGACTCTGTTTTTTTGGGTCCGTCACTGAAGATCGTTCAAATACATATATGTTTGAGAATGGCAAGAGGTGTGGAAATTAAATAATTTTTTAATTAAAAAGATGATCAAGTTACCCAGATGGCCAGATTTCAAATAATTAAATGGGGTGACATTTTAATCAAACGGACGAGTTCCCCGCATTTTCAAACGGATTAAATGTGAGGTGATTGTTTTACGGTCTATTATTGGAGGCGATTGTTTTTTATCATCATTGGAGGTGATTGTTTTACGGTCTATTAACATCTTTTAATTAGCTTTATGGATTAATTTGGTAAATGATTTATTATTGAAAAATGACAACAATATTACTCCGAGTCTTTTCGATTCCAAAAAGAAAAAATGGCCCGGAAATTACAAATGGAGTTTTGGTTTCCCAAACTATTACCACTTTTTAATTTTCCAAAATTATGACCTTATCTCATTAATTGCACCCTAATCTGATTTTAAATCCAGCTTCCTAATTTTGGCCGCCTTCTTTCTGCCATTTTCCCCTCGCATTAACTATATTCGTTTTTCGAGAAAAACTTCCACCGGTTACTTTCATCTCTTCTTCTCTCACAGTTTAAGTACCTCCTATGCTAACAGAAATCATCTGTCCTTCTACCACTGAAGCTACGTCTCTGTCTCGTCTTGCATGTCTCCGGAACTGATTCTCGGTCGTGTGTTAGTCGCTCGCTCTAACTGGTAAAATCTCTAATAAGTTTTCCTCGAACTTCACATTTTTTAACGTTTTCTACTTCTCCTTTCGATTTCAATTTCTTCCAAATTCAGAAAACCTAATGTAGAACTCTTGTATTGACCGATTAACGCTGAGAAATTGAATATCAGTCTATATTTGAATACTTGTCCAATTTCGATTTCATTGTGTTGCATGTTGTTTTTTGAATTTGTTTTGATTCACTTACCTGTGTTTTTGTTCTTCGAGGAATGAACGTTGTTCAAATGTGTAGCACAATTGATTTGTAATTAAGATACTACACACTTTGCATGCACTGATATGTACGGAATTGAAAAATATCCTGCATACACTCCATCACTAGACACAAATTTGCCATGATAATCTATAGTCACTTGTATAGATGAAATCTCTATCCAATTTGTTAGTTCAAGCATGAACCTAATTTCATACCGTTATTAAACGAAGTTGAAACAAGCCATCTTCTGCTGCTACTTTCATTATCTGGGTCAAACTAAACGTGAAACTAAGGGTGAAATCAAAGGCGAAACTGAAGGTGAAACCAAAGGTGGGTGGTGACAATTCAAATGCGGTAAACTTATATATCTACATAGACCAATCAATAGTTCAGGTCACACACTCCTATAATCCATTTTATCATAAAGTAAACTAAACTGTTGGCCTAATCTGAAAAATACCATCTGATTTCAAAGTAGCACGATCTATCATTTTTGCCACTATGTTTGGTGTTTGGTTTAAAATCTCTATTATTTATTCATGTTTGACTCTAAGTATTTTCTGTTTTCTATCATATTTGTTCTGGGATTGATCCTAGTGTATTAATTGTTACTAGTGACTATGTAGTAGTAACTGTTGTACTCTAGTGTTCTATGTTTTAATTGTTCTCTTGTACTTTCTATTGTATTACTAATGGATTAAATATCATTGGTCTTTCATTTTTTTTTCATAAAAGAAGCCTAAGAAGCCTCATTACAGAAATTAAACATAACCAAGTCATACATTCACTCAGTTCGCACACAGCCCATTGCAGATTAACAATCGGTCAAAATGTGCTAGGAAAATTTTCTAATAAAGAAACTAAAATTCGTGCTATACGATAAGAAAAAACACAAAATAAAAATAAGACAATACAAGCCTTGAAGCAATCCAAAAGTTTGAGTTCAACCTAAGACGTTGCTGCTAATCTAGGAAGTTGGCTTTTGCTTCTTGGGCATCCTGTAACCGCCAACAACACAAGCATGATCACGCTCAAACGGTTCAAGGGTAACCTGTTCACTTGGCTTGAATTGATCTGCTTGCAGCTTCTTAACCTCTTGTGCAAATACAGCCTCAGCAGGTACAGTGCTATCAATGCAATTAGCCTTTATGGATATGACAAAATGCCCTTCTGCTTTCAAAAAGTAGGAGGCATTCAGTGCTAGAATCCTTGCCTGATCAGGCTGAGCAACATCAGAAAATATGATATCAACCATTCCAACTAACATCCTGTATTTAGTAGGATGTCGGGCATCTTCAATAATGGGAATAACATTAGTACGTTTCTTTGCCATGTTCACTAAATCTCTACCACTTCTGTTTGAAAACTCAACTGCATAGACAACACCAGTAGGGCCAATAAGGTCAGAAACATGTGAGACAGTTGTTCCAGACGCAACACCAAGATAAAGAACACGTGCGCCGGGTTTAATCCAAATTTCATCAACGCCTCCAAGAATTGCAGCGGCCAGCTTAGAACGGAAAGGATTTCCATACTCTGTACTCAACCTTGGTTACATCCACTGGCGGATCTAGCTACTATATTTTGGGTGTTCTACATTAAACTAAAAGAAAACTAAAATTAAAATTATTACACTAATCACGTGTAAAATTATTCACGACTTGTACTGCCAGATACTGAGATAGCATTCATTAAATGAGCCTGCTGCCACATTATTAAAGCAAAACACCTACGGCTTATCACACTTTCAGATTTTCATAATATAAATTCAACAATACTTGAACAGAGAAAATGTAAACATTATAGATATAAATTGTTGAGTTTACGTTGGTTTTATAGGCTTCTTAAACATTGTATTGTGTTGGGTCTCCTTGTTATTGGGCCTGGGCAGTGTGGCCCATTTATTTTGTGCATCTGGTTTCCCCTTATCTTTTGAACTCTATTCTGTATTTGTTTAATCAGAGAGTTATGTAGAATAAGTTTTCTAGGGTTCTTGCTCTCAATACATCATTCTAGGTTATTCTCTAAAATCATATGGTATCAGAGACAGGTTGGCTTAGGTACTGAGAGCGAGCTGGTTCTTCCACTCCATTTAATGTTCCTCTGCCCTGTTCAAGAAAGATGGACAGCAACAAAGTCATTTCAGTTCCGATTACTCTCAAGGGAGGAAGCAACTACTTGCTGTGGTCTAGACTGGTGAAGACTGCGATTGGAAGACTAGGGCTATGGAGTCACATCACAGATGAGGCTCAGAAAAAACCAATGAACAAAGAAGATGAAGACATGAAAGCAAAGGAGCAAGCTTTAACTGAGTACAAAAGGTGGGTACAGGATGACCTGATGGTGCTATCCGTGCCACAAGGTTCTCTTGAAGTTCCCCTCCTTGAAGCCTACAGCTACTGTGAGACTCCTAAACATCTATGGGCGACACTCCAGAAGACGTTTGGTAATGAAAACAACCTTAGCCGAGTGTTTGAGTTGAAAGGGGCTATCAACTCTCTTGCGCAGGATGGTGAAGAGTTCACCAAACATTTGGGAAAGTATAGATCTTTATGGTCTGAACATGAAAGCCTCAGACCCAACACCATCGATCCAGAGGTCCTTGCTGAAAGGAGAGAACAAGATCAGGTTTTTGGGTTATTGTTGACCTTGGATCCGTCATACAAGGATGTGATTGCACACCTTCTGAGGTCCTCAAAATTACCAATTATGGAGGAAGTTTGTGCACAACTTCAAAAGGAAGAAGGATCCATGGGTCTCTTTGGCAGGAAAAAGGAGATTGCCATGGCACATAAGGCTGAGGAGGTTAATGCTAACCGAGCTATGTACAAAGGGGGAGAAAGGAAGTACGGTGAAAGGTTTGCGGGTGAGTGTGATCATTGTAAGAAACCAGGACACAAGAAGAGCCAATGCTGGATACTTCATCCTCACCTCAAGCCGCCAAAGTTCAACAAAGATAGGGAGGCAAGAGCTCATCTTTCTGCTGAAGCAAGTGGAACTGGTTCATCCAGAACTAGTTCAAATGCTCAAGTGGGTGAAAGTGAAGGAAGAGCTTTGACCTCACACCACTTGGGAGGGAAGAACATGGAGAGTGAGATGATCAGGAGGTCTGACATTGAATCCCTCATCAAAGCTCTTAAGGAGCATGGTAACCCTCTCAGAAACACCCTTGGATACTCTTATACTGCTCATGGGATGTCTAGTAACTCTACCAGGTTACTTGATATGCTTGAAAGCTTGTGCATTAGAAATGAATCACCTAGGTCTCATATTGCTCATGAATTAACAGGACCCTTGATCATTGACTCTGGTGCTTCTCATCACATGATTAGTGATGCCAAACTTATTAGAGATATAGAACCTGCTCATGGTCATGTTATGATTGCTAATGGTGATAGAATTCCTATTAAAGGAATTGGGAAATTGAAATTGTTTAATAAGGATTCTAAAGCTTTTTACATGCCTGAGTTTACCTCTAATCTTTTATCTGTTAAGAAATGCACCACTGATCTACATTGCAATGTTATTTTCAGTCCTAATGATGTGAAATTTCAGGATATTGAAAGCAGTAACTTGATTGGGCAAGGAGTGACCAGGGGAGACCTCTATTTGCTTGAAGACATTGTCCCTAGATCTAACTCTTGTTACTCTTTTAATTCTGTTTCCTCTTTGAATAAAGATGCTTTATGGCATGCTAGGCTTGGACATCCTCATGTTAGAGCCTTAGGTTTAATGCTACCTGGTGTCAATTTTAAAAATAATGAATGTGAGGCATGTATTTTGGGAAAGCATTGCAAGACTGTCTTTGAAAGATCTTCTACTGTTTATGAGAAGTGTTTTGACTTAGTTCACTCTGATGTTTGGACTGCTCCTTGTTTATCTAGAGATAACTACAAATATTATGTCACATTCATTGATGAGAAATCTAAATACACCTGGCTAACTCTCATTAAAACTAAGGATAGGGTGCTTGATGCTTTTAAAAATTTTCAAGATTATGTGACTAACCATTACAATGCCAAGATAAAGATTTTCAGATCTGATAATGGTGGAGAGTACACAAGTAATGCCTTTGAACAACACCTTTCTCTACATGGGATTTTGCATCAGACAAGCTGCCCCTACACCCCTCAACAGAATGGAGTGGCTGAGAGGAAGAACAGACATCTGATGGAAGTCGCCAGGTCCATGATGTTCCAAACCAATGTTCCAAAAAGGCATTGGAGTGATGCTGTTGTGGCTGCGTGCTATCTAATCAATAGGATACCAACAAGGATACTAGATGATCAGTCTCCTTTTGAGGTTCTGAATAAGAACAAACCTGTCCTGGATCACTTGAGAGTATTTGGATGTGTTTGCTATGTTATGGTGCCAAGTGAGATGAGGAACAAGCTTGAAGCAAAGAGTACCAAGGCTATGTTCATTGGGTACTCTACAACACAGAAGGGGTATAAGTGCTTTGATCCGGATACTAGCAAAGTATTAGTATCCAGAGAGGTGAAGTTCATGGAAGAAAAGGGATTTTATGAAGGACAGAATTGGGAAGATCTGGAGGACCTATCTCGACCATCAGATAAAGCTGCTAGTCTGAAGATTATACTTGAAGGACTTGGGATTGGAATGTCCCAAGATCAGAGAAGGCATCCTCCACCTAGTATACATATAACTGAAGAACCAACACACTTCGATCATGAGGGAGGAGAAGAACCTGAGGTTGGAGGTCAAGAAGATCAAAGCTTAATCAACACTGAACCTGATCAAAGTAGGGATAAAGAAGTTGCTACTGAATCTATTGAGGAACCAGAACAAGTTGAACCTGAACCGATTGTGGAATCAGGAAGTTCTGAACCTGAACCACCTGAACCGATTGTTCCCTTGAGAAGAAGCACACGGGTAAGGAATCCTTCCAAGTGGGTGAACACGAGAGTGTACTACAATGCTCAGGCTGTGGAACATCCCTCTCAAGCTGTATGCTCTTTTGCTAAGTATCCTAAAGATCATTGTACTTTCATGATAAGCTTAGACGAGAACTGGGTTCCGCGGTCTTATGAAGAGGCTATGATGCATGAGGAGTGGAGAGAGTCTGTTAGAGATGAATCTAATGCTATGATAAAGAATGACACTTGGTATGAGAGTGAATTACCAGAAGGGAAGAAGGCAGTGACGAGTAGATGGATATTCACCATCAAATACTTACCTAATGGAAAGGTGGATAGATGCAAGACAAGACTTGTGGCAAGAGGATATACCCAGACATATGGAGAGGACTACATTGACACATTTGCTCCTGTTGCCAAGTTGCACACAATCAGAATTGTCCTATCTCTTGCTGTGAATCTTGAGTGGGAACTTTGGCAGATGGATGTGAAGAATGCTTTCCTTCAAGGTGAACTAGAAGATGAAGTATATATGCATCCCTCACCAGGTTTAGAAAGTCTAGTGAAGCCAGGAAATGTCTTGAGACTAAGGAAAGCCATCTATGGCCTAAAGCAATCTCCCAGAGCTTGGTACAACAAATTGAGCACAACTTTGAATGGGCGGGGTTTCAGGAAGTCTGAGTTAGATCACACTCTCTTCACTCTCACCACTCCCTCAGGTATTATCTGTCTACTTGTTTATGTTGATGATATCATCATAACAGGTAATGATAATGATGGATAGTCTACCCGGGGGGTATCTTATCCGAGGGGTTATTGCGGAAATAACTAGAGAGAAGTCAGAGCAAAATAGGAGGAGAGAGAGTCGATTTATTAAATGAACTCGAGATGTGGAGTTGAGATGTCGCTCCTGTCCATTACAAGGAGAAATGGGCTGCTATTTATAGCAGCAATAAATGCGATGAGAGGACACGTGTCAGTAATCCAACGGCCGAAGGGTCACATCAGCTTAGTGGCACCGGCAGTGGTACGTCCACCGCATTGATTGCGGTTGGTGGATGTGACGTGGCATTAAATGCGGTGGTTGGCTGTCTCTAAAAGGAATCTTCGATGATTGAGCTTGTTCAGCCGAAGGTTCCTCGTGTAGCCGAGGGCTCCTTGTGCAGCCGAGGCTCCTTGTGCGGCCGAGGGATCCTTGTATAGCCGAGGGCTCCTTGCGTAGCCGAAGGCTTCCCCTGACGCCGAGGGCATGAGAATGCCGAAGGCTCATGTCTTCACCCGTTTTCTCCCAGCAGCTTCTTATGCCAGAGAAGGCTGTCCTGTGAGTGTTGGAGCCTCCGGCCAAGGAGGCCGAAGGCACCCCAGTGTGTATTCTGGGCTACTTTGAAGCTTGGGCCGTTGTATTTGGGCCTGAGTTGTTCTCTGGGCTCATCGGACTTGGGTAGGAGAAGTAGGAGTCTATGGGCCGGGGGTTCCCGGGCCATATACTCCATCAGGAGTCCCTCACTCCTTTTGCCGAAAGGTACTTGAGGGAAAAGGAGTAGATGTGTTGATTCTCCCGAAAGCTCCATTGCTTTGTTGGGTGCCTTTGACTGATCACTTATCTTCTGCTGTTAGCCGAAGGCTTCCCTCAGTCCCTCACATGTCGAGGGCTTTCTGAGGGCAGTATAACACCTGTGT